CCGATAATTTACGAGAAACCAAGGCCTACCACGGTATTCACTTAGCGCCACTTACACCATCGGAACGTAATTGCATAGATCAATTAGGCTGTCCTTGCCATTAAGTTCAAACAGAATTAACCGTGGACAAGACTAATACTTTACGCTATCTGGAAGAATGCATTTACTATAATGAACAAATTGTTTCGATTTCCTTGAACCGTCTTAATTCGAGTACAATTTTGGTATTTAATTTAATTCATATATTTATATAATTGATTAAAATAAAAGTTTAACGTATCTGAAATGAAATAGTTCGTTACAAAAATATATCTCGTATATTTTAGATAAAATTTTCGGTTTTTTTATACATTATAACACAACGAATTGAATATTACTTTTTTAAAGCTTACTTTTTTAATGAATGGAATAATAATCGAATATATTTACACAAAATATATAATATAATAACGTAACGTGAGTGAAAAATATTGACAATTTTTTCAACATCTAAAAAATGATCTCAAATACGATATATCTTCCAAATGAAAATTTCTTTTTATTCTCTAATACCAGAACTGATTCAGAATTTTCATTTTCTGTTATATATTTTCGATTACTTAAAATATCACCCTTTCGGCCAATAGAATAGATCAGAAAAATGAATCTACCGTTAGTTACGATCATAGTAACTTTTCACCTTTCGTTTCAGTCTTCCATCGCTCGGTATTACACGGACGTAGTTCGTTATTTTCGTTATCTTCCGATCATCACGTCCGCGAGACGTTATATGAATTATTATTAGATTATACGAATGGAGTGACACGATATCCAACGATTCGCGGTAATTCGTGTGCACGGTAAGTTGAACCACGTTAGCGTAATTATGATAAGGATAACGAACTTCTAATGGCCGGCCACTCATCGGCGAAACTCATATGCGTAAACCGTCTATGTGTTACAGTTAGAAGATTAGAAAACTGGAACATTTACGTCGTTTATTCAGTTAATTATTTCGCGTTGCGCAATGGTTCTTGGCTGAATGGACACGTTGGTTGGAAAGTGTTATATATAACAGCGTGAAACTCGTCGTCAAATATTATCAATCGCCGAGCCGAGAGATCGATGAATTCAGAGCGGAAGCAGGCTCTATGTGGCAAATTGTTGAGACGCTTCCTGTCTCCTTGATCGTTTATTATGGAACGATATTACATATACGCATGTATACGGGTTGCTACACAACTGACCAATGACCATAACGACGATAAATTGTTTCTTCGCACTTCTTCTTGAGCAAATTGACCGATTATCGGCGCGATGATACAATTTTAGTGAAAAAAAAAAAAAAAAAAGAAGAAAAAGAGAAGTAGAAAATATAATCCGAAATTCATGAGACGAAATAATTGAATAAATATCGTTCGCTTAAGCGTGGCAATATCTTCTTCTGTCAGAATAAATCATTCTTCTTTGAAATATAATTGAGAATATATATATATATATATATATATATAAATGCTTGGCTATAATTTTTCGAAGAGAAAAGACGCGTTTTCGTCTCTCCTCGATCGTTATTCGATCCTCGGTCATTTTTCATCTTTTGAGGCAGATCATTAGGCGGCTTCCGGTTCCGCGGGGAGCAGAACAAAACGCTATAAACCATATTAAGCAGGCCCATAAAATGTGCCTTGATACACGCGGACACATGCCGCCTGATTTCAAATCCCAGGAAGCAACTCGATCAAGCTGCTTCTGCCTTCATACACAGCCACCCTGTGTCGTATATATTTATTGAGACAATAAACCGCAATTATGGCCATCGTTAACTAACCGCTCCCCTAGTCTCTTTTTCTTTCTTTCCTTTGTCACAGAGACGAAGGAAAATGATTCGTTGGATAGCGGAAACTTCCTTCCAAACAATTTTCTGATTTTCTTTCTTTCTTTTTTTTTTTCTCTCTCGAGGAGAATTAAATTGTAATTCTTTTTTTTCGACGACACGGAGCGCTCCTTTTTTTTAAAATCGATCGAAAACGTTATCCATAATTTTTCGAACGATAATTTTTTTTTTTTTTCCGAAGGAAGATTCTTTTTTTCCCGGAGAAAAGAAACGTATACGTATATAATTCGTTTTAGAATTAGTAGAATATTCGATTGCGTTAAATATCTCATGAAGCAACACGCGTGATCGAGATGAACGAATCAATCTGAGACTAACGACGAGCTCGTTCGTCTTGGAGAGAGGAGAGACCCTGGAGCACACAGCTTCGGATTTAATGATTATTACCGTGCCGATGATTGCACCATAAAACAACATATTGCTGTACCTGGAACTCCGTGGCGATGAAACTTCGGCTAGCTCGTATAACCTCCAGGGCGATAATAGACCTGCCCTCGTTTCCGGTTGTTCCATACAACGCCTCGTAGGTGCACACGAAGGTGCAAACGTCACGATTTCACCGCTCGGCTCGTGCGCTCGAGGAGAACGAAAATGTTCGGGAAGACGCGTCGAAGCGACGTGTCGAACCACAGAGATCAATCCATTCGAGAAGAATATTCGAGAAACGAAACTTTGACTAATCTCTAGGAATAGAGAATTCGAGAAGGAGGAAAGGAAACGAGTTCTCGACACGTTTATTAAGATAACATATTCAGATAGGATAAGTTTCCATGAAATCTTTTTTTCTTTTTTTTTTTTTTGTTCCCCCCAAACGAATTCGCGGGAGGAATTGTGGGTGCCACGAATCGCACGAAAGCACAAGGTTTCGCGGGAACAAGGTAGGCCGTCCTACGCGCGATTTCCGATGAATTTTTAATTTTCCCCGGTATACCAACCGAGGCCCGGTATTAGTCAACTCGCAAAAGGCTGGCTCCGTGTATCGCGTGTAAACGCGAGCCGTATATTCAATTAATTCAGGGCGGATGTTGTAGGCCGGCGATACAGCGCAAGGGTCGCTCCTCATTCTCGAAACAGGAGAGCAACCGCGTACACGGCGTGGTTAATTAATGGGAGTGAAGACAGAAAGTATGCACGATGCGCGCAACAAAGAGAAACGACTACTAGGTGGCCTAGGTGTCTTCTTTTTCCCTTTCTTTCTTCTTTTCAAATTATAACTATATCAGCGTAGTCGAATCGTAAAGAGGCAGATAAGACGTAACTCTTGATATTCATATTAAGAGAGAGAAATTAATTGTTTCGTGGGATTGGATTTGCGAATTAATAAATAAATTCTGGTGATACGCGATTTCTTCGATTAAAATATCCCTAAGTAAGAGGATTAAACCTCTTCTTTAAACTTGAAAAAAAAGAATGTGAACGGCGTCGCATCGTGTTTCGTGCAGAAACACGAAAAAGTAGAAGAACAACCCTGAAAACCGGGACAAAGAGGCACGAAAGAAGACGGGGACAAAACCTCGAGACAAGGTGAACCGCGAGGCAATAGCGATCGTAGAAACCGGCGCAATGCCACAAGAAACTGACTAACTGGTAATTAGCATATTTCCAGAATATTTTCGACGGCACGCGATCTTCCGGTGACTCGTTCCGAAAATGCGAGGTCCTCTTTGTTCGAATTCCGAGTGAAACGGACGAATATACGCCCCATTGTTCGTAAGTAACAGGACATTTGTTGGCCACGAGTGTATATACCCTGTATATACACTATATACACTACGTCCGCCAAAATATTTTCCCTTTAATAATTTTCTAATTAGACCTAACATTTCCGAACAGGGACGTCTCTGGTCAAGCTATCGTCGAGCCAAGCCAGTTGCAATCATCGCGTTCCGATCTCCCACGTCCTTCCTTCCTTTCAATTTTCTTCCTGCACCTTACCTACCATTTTTTTTCCCCCGTCGCATTTTTCCATTCCATTCGATAATTCCTTCTATCCCGCGCAATCGATCTTGCGCAAAATCAGCCAAGGTCGATCATCCTAACCGATCGTTCGCGGAATAATCATTCTTTCACCGATGCTCGCCCATTATCCGTGGCTGTAATTGAGCTTAATTGGGCATCGATGTACGCACCATCTTCTTCTCTTCGGGGTGTATCGTCCATATTTTTCACGCCGCCTCTTATCCCTCTCGTTGCGACGAGGAGGAGATCGTTCGTTCCGTTACACGCGCGATTATCGCTAATGACACGATGACTCAATTAGAAGGCGACGTCCAATCGGGAATCGAGCGGATCGGATTGTCTCCGTACGTACGCCCATTCACGAACTCTGACCGAAACTGGCGCCGCAAGCTTCTGAACCGCGGAGAATTTCGTTTCATTTCGCCATTCGACGCGTCCTGCGCGCGACACGGCCTCCCCCGTGCACGTGGGAGGACAACGATCGTTGGAGGAGCGTGGAATCACGAATCTACCGACGAGTGCAGATCGTATCTGTACTCGCCATTATGCGCGCGCTATTAGGATGATTAACGGTACCACGGCGTGTAATCGAGTCACGGGGGTATATTGTGCCCGTGGAGTGTCACCACGTTCGATCTCATCTCGATCGACTTGTCGAGGTGTTACCCCCACGACCGATGCTTTCTCGTCGATCCTTCGAACCTCGTCGTCCTCCTCCTCCGCAACGTAACGATTTCTCTCGTGGGCGAGTCCTACTACCGTTTCATTCCCCTATTACCGTAATAACCGAATCGAGGAATGTAGAAAGAAAGAGAGGCGCACGATCGCGAGATACTGGTAATGGTAACCCATTAATCCAGATGGAAGCAAGAGGAGTTATCGTTCGTTGAAAATAAATGAGACAGTTTCTTCTTCCTTTTTTTTTCTTTCCTTTTTTTTTTTTTTTTTTCGTTTTTATTGAAACCGCATCAGAAAATAGTGCACTCTCTCATCAATCATTCGTACGTAGCGTTGTGCAATAACGTTTGTGCAGTAACGTTTCCGATACGGATCTTCGAAAGGGCAGGCCACCACCAATCATTTTCTGAAATATCTAAACATCGTTAGAATATGCGCAATCCGTCAAATGGATGATGCGAATCAATCGCACGAAGCATGTGAGCCTCGTTTCGAGGATTGATGCGAGGATAAACGTGTTCCCAGGATAACATTCGTAACGTCTGAATTCGCCGATTCGAAGTTGGTACCGTTCTCGATTTTTTTACATTTCGGTCCATCGTGCATTTTTATCCTTTTTCTCCTTTTTTTCTTTTCTTCCGTAATACACAGAGGCCGAGGTGAGTTTATATATATATATATATATATATACCCTGAAAGAAGATAAGAAACGAGAGATCCTTCGTTCCGATTTACAGGTCGATAATTTCGTGGCTCGCGCTCTTCTGGGAAAACCGCGGAGACCGACCGCTTTCACTCCACGCCATTTACGATTGGTTCAAGGTTCTCGTTCTCTTTTTTCCCCTGTCCCTGTGCGCTGCACCTGCAACAGAAAAGAACACGGAAACGTGATTGCTGTGTCGGCGCCCTGCACATGCAATACCTCTCTCTCTCTCTCTCTCTCGTTCCTCTCGTTTCTTTTTCTCCTTTAACGAGGAATATACGAAGTGACGGGGAAAAAAAAGGAAAATATTCTCGACGTTTTAACGAGGCCGAGGAAGGATCGAGGTATCTGAATTTTCCCCCTTTCTCGTCACATTTTCGTTACGTTGTTGTCGCCGCGAAAAATTATATTAATCGGTCGTGAACTTACAAACACGCTGTAATCGCCGTCTTTATGTATCGTGGAGGTAAATGGTATGGGGGCGAGTTGGCCGCGTGAAAAATATGATAAAAAGGCACGAGTTTGAGGAGAAAGAGCCGCGTTCCGATAACATTGGTTTGCATTGAAGAGGAAGGTGGCGGCGGCGGCGGCG